CCGGGCGGCGGGCAGAGGCCGACAGGCTCACCAGGGCTCGCGCGCGTACTCCTCCATCTTGACTCCGCGGCGCCAGCGATGCCGGGCGGGCGGGGCGGGGCCTGGCCTGGCGGCGGAAGTGATCCCGGGAGGAGGGCGTTACACTGAGGGGATTGGCTCGCCGCCTCCTCCCGTAGCCAATGGGAGCCGGGAGCCGGGGCGGCGGGACGGGTGCTCCAGGCGGAGGGCGGGGCTCGGGCGGCGGGGCGGGGTTTGGGGGTTGCTGCAGGCGGAGGGCGGGGCTCCGCCGGGTCCTGGGTCCTCCGCGTGCGCGCGGCGGGGCCGAGCGGGAAGCCCAGGTGCGGCGAGGTTCACCTGACCGGAGATGCCGAGCCCACACAAACGCGGAGTCACTCGGCTGGGGTTCCCCGAAGCTCTCGAACTCGTTTCTTTGCTGAGTACTTGGCTGTCGAGTGTGAATTAACGCTGCCTACTTCGCCCTGGGCGGAGCTCCTTTAGGACGGCCGGTGCCTTAGTCCTTAGTCTCGGCCCGCAGTGCCGTGGGTGTGCCGCCCGTGCTTGTGAACTTCTGGGGTGCCGTGACCCCTGGGGGCCCTCGACGTGGGGGGCAGCGACGACGGAGCCTCTCCAGGCCTCACTCCACCCCAGGACCCGAGGCTGTCCAGCTCAAGAGAACAGGAGACCCCCGGCCCCTTCGGTTTACCGTCAGCAAAACCTCGTCGTGTGAGAGCTGCTGCAGGAGCTCTTCTCCACCCTGCGCTGCTGACACTGACTTTAAAATGCAAACGTATGTATTTCTTCGCACACATCATCGTATTTAATATATGTAGTAACGCCATAACCCTGTGCAGTATTTTTTTTCTCTAGGTGGGTACTTTTAAGACCCTCAGTTTCCATCTCCTAAGGTTCAGAGAGGTTAAATGCCTTGCTTGAGGTCACACATCTCAGATTTGAGCCCATGTCATTCGACTCCAGAGGCCATGGCCTTATCTGCCACACTATACTGCCACCCTGTATTCCTGAAAATGTGACTTTCCTGGGGTCATTCAGCCCAGATGAGAGCCACCCTGAGCACAAGTTAAACTGGTGCTGCTTCCCTGTGCTTACAGCACACAGTTTGGCCAGAGCTTGGGTCTCTTTTCCTTCCTTCCTTCCTTCCTCTCCCCATCCATCTCGCACAAGAGTGCTGGTTTTTCTCTGAGGACCAGGCCATCCCATAATCCTCTGATACTCAGGATTAACTTGTCTCCGGGGGAAGTGGATTCCAAGCTTGGGTAACCATTGCCCCCCACAGAGTGTGTGGGGCGGTGGTCCGCCGTTGCAGGGGCTGGAGGAGGCTGTACTCCTGGCTGCGGGTTCCGTAATCCTCCCGCCTGCTGGCTGTGATGCCTTTGGCTTTCAGTCTGCGAGGAGTCACACAGAGCCCGGGGCTGCAGGGAGCAAAAGGCGTCAGACTGACGCATCAGAAGAGCCAGCTGTTCGGAACTGTGGGACCGCTTTGCCTTATGGCAGAGAAGATACAGGGTTTGTGGTTAGAAACCTTTGGTTAGGAGGCTGTGAGTCCTGTCCTTTAAGTGTGGAAGCTGTGACTTTGTTTTTCGAGTGTGTTCCTAGAACCCGAAAGAAGAGACGGCTGCCGAAACCAGGTGGCCTGGGGACTGAATGGCCCCTTCTCGGGGAGAAAGTCCTGGGAGGCTGAAAGAGCTGCTTTCACTGACAGGCGACCGATGAGAAGTTGGCTGAGTTGGCTCTGGCGCCGGGCATCCCAGACGGTGATGCCTCTTCTCGGCCAGAGTGCGGGCGGAGGTGCTGTGGGTGCGGGTGGGGCCCCTTGGCCCCACGCCTCTTCTGGAGCCCGCCTCAGGCCAGCTCGAGGCTCAGCCTGCCCGCCAGGCCACCCACTCCTTCTCCCGAGAGGTTAGTGTGTCTTCGTTGGGCTCTTGGCAGTCGCTTCTTCCTCTCTTGTTCCGCTTTGCCTTGAAGCACAATTTTTTTACCTCATTAGATTACGCATTTAAAAGAGAATAACCACTTTGTAAGTCGTTTGTAGCTCTCTCCCTATAGTACCTGGCAGGGCGCCAAATATGCACAGCAGCGTCTGAATAAACGCCTTAAGGAGTGAATGGTGCGCGCGCAAACACGTGAGTGGGTGCGCGTGCGCCTGTGCGTGTCTGTGCGCATATGCCTGTGCGTGCGTGCGTGCATGCTTGCGCCTGTGCGTGTCTGTGCGCGTATGCCTGTGCGTGCGCGCGTGCGCCTGTGCGTGTCTGCGCGTATGCCTGTGCGTGCGCCTGTGCGTGCGTGCTCCCGTGCGTGCGGGCGCCGGAGCGAGCGCGCGGGTTGAAGGTGGTTTCTGCGGAAGGACAAGGAAAAAGACGAGAGGAGGCGGGCTTGGAGAAAACCACCCGGGACAAGAGTAAGTGTGAGCTGTTGCAGTGCCGCTGCCGAGAGTGCGTGTGCACGTTCAGTCTTAACACTGCCTCCCCTCGAGGCGGGGCAGCACTGTCCTTGTTCCACAGATGGTGATGGCGAGTCCCGGAGGAGGAAGCAGCCGGAACCCGTGTCGGGTAAGCGGCCGTCCCGGGGCCCAACCAAGCCCGCTGGCCCGGAGAGCCCGAGCTTTAACCGTGACACCCGCGCGCCTGTTGTGTTTCCCTGGAGCCCCTGGACTTCCCTTTTGAGGCGTTTTGTGAACTCTCTGGTTTCTAATGGATTGTTTGAAGTTGTGTGTTTATTAACTGTCTTCACTGGTAAGACTGTAAGCTTCAGGAAAGCAGGGACCACACTGATTTTCTGTTTAGTTACATCCCTCACTCTTGGACCAGCGCCTGACACGTGGTCAGCACTCATAAGTGTATGCTCACTGACTCATCCACAGCCTCTGAAAAACAACCCCCGGGGGGGGGCAGCCCTTCTCTCACCCTTCCTTTAGGCCTTGCCGCCTGCCCTCTGCACTCCAGTCCCACCTGCCTTAAATGAGAGGGGACTACTGGGCGCTAGACGCCGGGCCAGGTTTTCCTCCCAGCAAGGGCTGATGGGGTGACTGTGTCCGTCTCAGGATGGACTGGCGCCAGGAAGGATGGAAGCCACTGCGTAATGGGTTACGCGAGGGCTTTTGGAGGGACTTTGTGGCAGGAGATCGAATGTCCTTGCGCCTTGTGCAGGGCGGCGTGATGGATGAGCAGTGAAAGTCCTCTTACAGAACATGCCAGACCTGCTGCAATAGGATCCCTCGAACAGCCTGGAGTTATGTTTCCCTGAAGAGGCACCAAGTCATGCTCCAGGCTTACACGCAGTGGGGACCCGCAGGAGGTCTGTCTCCAGATGCCCCAGCAGAGGAAGGAGCCAAGTAGAGGAAAGAGGTTTGAGCTCTCCTCCCAGGAGCTCAGGGAGGTCGACACCCTGTCAGAGTTTTCCTGCGTCCGCACATAGCACCTCCTAATGGGAACAGCCCACCAGCTTTCAGTCTGGGGACTCGGGATCTTTCTCTCCCCCTCCCCCTCCCCCTCC